CTTCCATCAGCCCGCGAGTTTAAGTGAGCACCCCCTGTGTACCTTCGGGTGCTGCAGCTCCAGGTCGGCCCACGGTCGCATCCAAGTGGAACTCCGCAACACGGGTCTGGCTCAAGACCGCGGACGCTGCTGGTCGATCAAGTAGCTTGACGATGGACCACATAGATACAGAAAAACCCATAGTGGTAATCCCGGTAATACACCGCCTGACAAGAGAACGCTACTCGACGACAAGATCGCGCCGTCAGCGAGCGAGGAGCAGAACGAGAGCCACAGCCTCGTGTACGCCTTTGACCCGACGCTGTCTGGCGGCGTCGCAGGCCACATCGCAGTGCACTACCACGGCTACGGCGCGACGATCGCGGCTAACCTCGACGTCTCGGGTGCCAACTGGACAGCGCTGAGCGCCGCCGACGCCAACTGCAAGGGGCCTATCGACTCGTTCACGTGGCACGTCCACACCAAGTGGAGTAACAAGGCGTCGTCGGCCTTTCTGGGCGGCTGCGGCTTGGCCATCGCTGGCAACCACTACGACCCGACCCTCGCGTGCGGTCCCAACTCGGAGCACATTGACGACACGTGCAAGGCGACTGTCGCCCAAGCTGGCTTTGCGTACAACTGCACGCCCGCTTCGTACGGCGAGTGCGAAACCAAGTGCGAAGCCGGCGATCTCTCTGGGAAGGTCGGCAAGATGACGGCCAAAGCGGGCAAGATCCGCGAGACGTGGTTCGACCCGCACTACCCGGCCTTTGACGAAGCCATGGCGCAGTGGAACGTCATGCTCCACGCCGTGTGTGGCAAGGCCGCGCCGCGCTTTGTGTGCGCGATCGCGACGACGGCCAAGGACCTTCCGTCGACGACGATTCCGACGACCTATGCGCCATGAGCGCTTGCATGTGAAGTGTGGACCCTCTGCCCGTTGTAGTCATCTACCCACGTACTGCTATGCTAATGCACGGTCATTTTGATCCAGAGCTCGTGGCGTGGCTTCGTCACTACCTCGTCCCCTTTCGCTACATGCCGTGACGGCCAATAGGCATGACATGGGCGTTTGATAGCTTGTTTCTTCTACCGGGCAACTCGGTACACGTCAAGCTTGAGGCTGTCGACACACTGAGCAGCAGCAGCGACTCGAGCTGCCGCACCTACAGCGGGATTAGGGTTATGCGAAACAAAGTGTTTACCGGTATAACGCTAGGACGGTATTCACAGCTGCTAGCCTTTAGGAGAGGACTCCTTACGTAGGTAGCATATCTTATCAACGTCGTTGCCAATGCATCGCGTGGTGCCAAGGAAGGTTGTGGGTATAAGATGTGACAGGTTTCCAGATATATGTATATGTGTTGTGAAAGGCTATAGGGTGTAACAGTATTGCCCGGATTTGGTGGTTGGCAACAAGAAAACGAGACCACCGCCCCATGTCGCTGCCGGTACAGGACGACGCGTCGACCTCGGTCTCATGGCCCATGTAGGTCCTAGACACGTTCGCCGAGCATGGCTTCAGCATCTTCCAGTCGCCGGAGGCCACGTTTGCCGACTTCTTCGCCGCCGGGATCTTCCGCCGGGCAGGCATCGATGTTGAGGCCGGCGCGCCCCGCCTCCAGCAGCGCGAAGCCTTGCTGGACGTCGCCTTGTACCATGGTCTCTCGAGCATCATTGCGTCGTACGTCCTTGCGCTCGACAAGAAGAAGGAGTTTCTCCTGAACGAGCCCGTGGCCGTCCAGACGTGGGCCGCGAAGCATGTGACAGCGCTTGCAGCGACAGCAACGGCCGCACTCGAACAGCTCTTTGTGGGCGGCAAGCCCAACAGCGACCTTGGCGCGCACCTGCGCTCGCTGCGCGGCCTGCGCCATGTGCTGAAGGCGCTCACGGACCGTCTCGAACTCGCGGCCGGGCCCGTCACCGTGCCCGAAGCCGCGGCCTTGACACAAGAAGCCCGATCGTACCTGGACCAACTTCTGCGTACGCTTCACGACACGACGCTGCGCTTCTCGTTTGGCCAGTGGCTCGTCGAAGAGAGCGCTCTGCATAAAGTGCACTACGACGCCGCCGGCCTCAGTCGCCGCTTCCACACGCAGGCGCCGCTGGTTTTGGCGGCCATCTGCGACGCGGCGCAGGTCGCCCCGCTCTCGCCGCCGCCTTCGACCGGCCTCGCGCTGTGGCACGCCCTCTACACACCGACCGCGACCTCGATTGAAGTGTCGTCGGCCATCTTGCTCTTCATGGGCTTGGAAATGCTCGCATCGTGCGCCAAGCCCAAGGCCGCGCCGCAGCCGCTCGCGGCGCTGCAAGCCACGACGCGTCGCCTGGCCCGCGCACTGTCTCTGAACGACGTCTGGTCGCGATCGATCCTCGGGCTCTGGTGTCTCCAGTACAACGTGCACGCGGTGGAGGCCGCGACGCTCTTGCAGCCGTCGCACCTTCTCGACCGCTCGATCCTGCTCGCCCTTGTGCACGTGCTGCTGCGCCACCAACAACCCTCGCTCGCGTGGCAGCTCTGGTCGACGACGCCGGCATCCGAAGACGCGGTCGACTTGCTCTTGGAGCTGCACTTGGCGATGCACGATATCGAGGGTGCGTGGCGGCTTCTCCGCGCCTTCCCGCGCCAGAATGCCGAGCGTCTGCCCCAGCTGCTGGCGTGGCACGTCGCCAACGACAGTCTGCGCGACTGGGTGCTCCGATTGCATTGGTCGCCGACCGAGTTGCCGCTCGTGCACGCCTTCCTACTGGCCGACGACGACCGCCACGAGCTCCTCGTGCGCCTCTACCTCGGGCGCAGCGACTATGACCAAGCCTACGCCCTTGCGCATGCGCTGCCGTCGGTGGCCAACCATGCGGCGCTGCAAGCCTTGCTCAAAGCCACGCAGCTCAACCAGACGGCCGGCGACGTGCTCCCGACGCATGTCCGCGCGCTCGCCGACACAAGTGATGCGGCAGCCTACGCTCCGGGTCTCTACTCGGGGAAGCGCTCGACGACCACGGTCAAGGTCACGGCCACGGCGCGGAGCCTGGACCTCGACGAGCCCATGACGCCGCCGCCGGTCGTGTCGACTGGTCCCAAGCCGAGCAAAGGTAGGTCCTTCGCCTTGGACGCAATATATGGCTCATGCAGAGCTGCTATAGAGCGCTACGCTGCATTTGGCTGGTCGGCGACGCCGCAGAAAGGCCTGACGCTAGAGAACCGGAATGGTACGTGGGCCTTGCAAGGC